TTCCATCCTCGCACGGGGACTTGCCGTTTTTAAGGTTTTATGACGTGCGCTACGTGAATTATAATAGAGCCTTAAAAGAAAAACTGACCTCATACCACGTACTCTATATAATTTTATTCGATTAATTTTAATTCACTTATCCGATATCAAACTTATCTTCTTTAATTTAATTTAAGTTATTTGAAAAAATTATAATGTTAAACATCTATAATAATAAAAAACTAATAAATTAAATTATCATTCAGTTCTATTTCCCGTGGTATCGTGCCAAGAACGCTGGCTGAATTTTCTCGCTGTATGGATATACTTAACCGTTGAGCGAGAAAAGAACCAGCCCTCTTATTACCTGCAGCGACAACCAGTCGCGGATTAAGTTCCTATAGGAACTTCACCGCACGTGAACCCCACGGACTGTTAGTATATACAGCAAATGGTATGAATATGTAGTCATTTCTCAAAGACTCATCTTTTTCCTATTCCTATTATAGGACAATTTAACCCTTTCAAGATTTCAAAAAAGCGTTCGACACGTTGGATCACGAAATGCTTCTTGAAGCAATGCAAGAGTGTGGGATTCGAGGCCCAATGCACAAGTGGTTCCGCAATTACCTGAAGAATCGAAATATACACACTATGATCAACGGAACGACAAAGGAAGAAGCCGACGTAACATTGGGCGTGCCAACCGCCTCCGTATTCGGACCTGTTGGGTACATCATTTACGTGAATAGCATTGATAACGTTGTAAAACATTGTTGCACATACGCCGATGACACATGCCTGATGTACGCTGACAGGGATGTTAAAATTATTGTGGAGAGGTTGCAGGATGATTTCATTAATATTCTAAAATGGGACACATGACAACGGCATTATACTTAATGTATACAAAACAAAGTGTATGTTTCTATACTTTCCTTATATGAGAAAACCTAGTGAGGAATTTAACATCTTTGGTCATTCGTATGAGTGCTTACATAATAAACTGGTACAATGCGAATGTAAAACCATAGAATTTGTGAATAGTTATAAGTACTTAGGGCTAACAATAGACTGTAGTTTTAGTTGGAAATTACATATTTAAATTGTCTGCGATAGGTTAAGATCCATATTATCTAGGCTTAATAACTTAAAACTTACAGTAAGCAGGTCTATTTTATACATGCTTTACTACGCACTAGCTGATTACTATGGCATGGCATATGGATATGGCATATGGACTTACTTTTCAAACATATACAGATAAAATTCTTAAGTTGCAAATTAGATTAATAAAATTGTTTATTGGTGAAAAAACAAAGAAAAAATATAACATAGACGGAGACTATAAAAATTTAATTAAATATTTTAGAATACTACCTAATCATGTAAAACTTAAGTATTTAATTGCAATAGATCAATTTAAATATGTAGAGTTTAAATCAGTTCGAACATTTAACAAAAATATTAGAATTACTTCGCGAAAGAAATACGTTGAGCATAGAGTTAATAATTATTACGGCAAGAGGACGACAAAATATCTAGTACCACGTATTTTCAATGAGATATTTTCTGAAAACGAATGCGGTAGTAAAGAAATATTTAAAAAAGAAGTTAAAAGCGTGGTGGCTGGATAATTATATGTAAAATAATTAATATTGTCTTAAAATTATAGTTTTAAATTAATTTGTTATTTTAATGTGTTTAATTTAAAAGATTTAAAATAAGTTTTAATTATTTTAAATCTTTTACATTAGTGTAAATTTAATTTTCCCATTTTTAAGTTTTTAAGGATTGCATTTAAGTAAGTAAGGACAGTAGGTACATAAAATGTAAGAGGTTGATGTATTCGCCAACAAACTGCCCTGCAGTTTGGCGAAAGTTGTATAAAGAATAACCAACCATATTTATAAATGATTTTAAAAAAAAGGGTATCGATTGGTAGCCTCGCACCGGTGGCGAAGTGTAGGGCGACTCCCACTAGATAGAGTGACGAACTGGTAAGACATGGAGGTAGTCGATGGACGCAGGTGGCTCAGAACCGTGCTTTGTGGCATACCTTGGGGGAGGCCTGTGTTCAACAGTGGACTTGTAAAGTGCTGTAATGATGATGATGATGACGTCATAAAAGTACTATGGGTGTATTTTTTGATTAATATTGCTCGCAGTGCATTCATAGTTATTCTATTAATTTGCTTCTTTGTGATTAACCTAATATAATCTGGGTTGCTCAGGAGCTTAGCTGTCGCCGTAATTATTACAGTATACGAGAAACTCGAATTCAATCCTCCACCGACACCAATGAAATTGAAAATTGCAATTTAAAGTGCTAATTTACCTCATGCTCGACAGTGAAGGTAAACATCGTGATGAAACTTGTTATTAACCAACTTGTTACCAAAGTACTAGTCTACCGCGGTGGACTACTGCACCATAGCCCAATCAGAAATAAGAAGAAGCACAGGCTTCTTCTTATTTCTGATTGGGCTACATGGACCACAGAAGGGCACAGGCCCTGCTGTGGGGCTTTAGTTTTAACACTAATTTAATACGCTGTTGCAATTCAACACATTTTGTTACCAAATACATAATTGGGCTCAAATAATCCCACGGCTCCATGCCAAAAGAGACAGCTGTTCCGTTCAATAATAAAAAAGAAAAACGTTATAGGTTGTTTATTTATGAGAAATACGCACAATATTATTTTCGAGGCTACAAATTTTTTATGAGAAGTAATGTAAATAAATATTAAAGGTGATATAAATGCAGCTGAGTGAGGGTTCACCACAAAACATTCTCAAGATATTATGCGAGATTAAAATTTATCACGAAGGTACAAAAAAAATAGGTTTCAATTAGAAATAAATAAATATTTTTATTAGTTTATGCCAAAGCTTGTTTACTATCTCTTCTGAATATAGGTGATGATTCATCTGTAGATGTAAAATGAACTAACTTAGCTTAACTAAAGCCTACTCACTCGCCTTAAAGACACATACTTTTAAATGGCATTGAAATAGAGATGCTGGAAAATTATTCGATTTCTTGCTGTACACATTATAAACAATCAAACAACCTGGTTGGTTCGAATACACGGTATGTTGACAACAAAAAGTAGACATCAGCCGAGTGCCTGGTAGCTTAATGTAATCGGGCTTAAAATCAGTTAGGTTTTCTATCAAGAAATTCTCAGTAGCAGTCCGGAGTCAATAGTTTAGCAATGTTTCATCCCTATGCCTCAGAAAGCACGTAAAGCCGTTTTATCTGTATCTGATCTCACTATGTTTTGTCGTATTACTAACTCGGGCACAACGATATATATATATATATATATATATATATATAACTTTTAGGTTTTTATACATAATAATCAATAGGGGCAGATTTTTCTAAGAAGTTCTATAATAAATATTATTCATAATTATCATAATTTCATTTTACGGATTTCCCCACACACCATGTTTTTACCATTAACCTTTAGTTAGGCGCGCCAATAAACTAACACTCTTAGTCGCGCGGGGTCTGCAGTTACCCCAAATTGATAGGTATGAAATACGAAACATTTTAATTAGTAATCAATTTTAATTGATTTTATTCTACTTATTTCTTATTAAGCTTTTAGAATAATCCGAAAAAATTCTAGAAAGATATTTAGAACAATAGAAAAATATGTTTTTCGTAAGTACTATTACAATTCAACAATTATCACAAAGTTTCTTTGTATGATCGCCACAGATAAAATTGTTGCACTTATTACACTTTGAACAATAGAACAATAGAAAAATATGTTTTCGTAAGTAATCTATTTTGTATACCGTACGCTTTATATGAAGCGATTCTTAAACAGTAAACTCCAAAAAACTATGTGGTTCCCGTTAAGTGCATTATTATATTCAGTATTCAAACATATAGAAATAACCTTACTTCAGAATGCTCGATCATATAAACATTTAATTTAATTTAAGATAATTTTATTTCCAAACACTATGTGGTGTTATAACAAGCATCGGAAAAGCAGGGTCATGATGGACAGTACTCTTACTAACCGACCAATGCTGAGGTAATAAAACCATTTGTCACCCATATTCTATAAAAAAGACACATACGAGTACAATTGGCAATAATAATAATATTATTATTATTATTATTATTATTATTATTGCCAATTGTAGGGCGTAGGGAAGTGACGACCCCATCACCCGTTGACGTGACGGTTATGTGACAAAACCGCTACGTCCGCGCAGTCAGTCAGCACCTTGCCAAGAGGTTTGAGCGCCGTGCCTCGGCAAAAATTGATGGTGCAAGGGCCCGCTTGTGCATATGGCCTCACCATGAAACGGCGCCGGGTCTGGGCGTCTCCCGTTAAATGACGCCCTGTATGGATGATGGAACATAGAAGATTGCGCAAAGGGCCGCTGCCTGGAGGTCGTCAGGGCGCGTCTGGAGCTGGCGCTGGACGCGACAGCATGCGAACCGCCAGCCGAGCGCGAGGTGCTGCACGAACACCCAGCAGCCCCTCGCATCCATCATCCCCACCAGCTTGCTTGGTGTCGGCAGGGTCTTCGCAGGCCCAGCAATCGGCACCCGCCACTGGTGGAGTACGCCGCATGCGATGGACCATCAATATGAATTCAAACGCATTGCGGGCGTATTTTAGGGCGAAAGGGGGAGAAATTGGAGGTTTCGCGTATCGGGCTAGGATGCATCGTCTTTTTACTGAGCTGGAGCCATCTATTACTGTCACCGAGCAAAACCTGGCAGACCGAGTTCGGTATATCTTACGCTCAAATATATTTGATGGCGCCGAACTCGAACGGCTACGACGTGAGGCTGTTCCCTCATCAAATGAAAACGCTACGACTGAGGGTGCGGTGCCACAAGTTGCAGAACAACCCGCACACGTGGATGCCGCCGAGAATATATACTAATATACCCCAGTGGTTGCTGATTCAAATTATGAAGGAACATTCACCCAGGAACTAGAAATAGAGCAAATGAGGAGTACATTGGAAGAGGCGATTATGGAAACGCGCAGTACGCCTCTCGAAAATCGACCGCGACTTCCCCGCATAGCCCTAAGCAAGCGGAATCGGGCTGTCGTGAGGGCTCTGAACCCAATGCTGGTGACCTATTTGGAAGCCAGCCGGGACCTTTGCGAGACGGACTCAATTCTCTTTGGCGCCGCACTGGCAGTCTGCCGTATTATAGGCGCCAAACTTTCCACGGCTGGACGCATTACTGGACAAAGTAGTGCTATCCCAGCCTGGAGAACAAGAATTGAAGAACGTATCGAAAAGACTAGGGCCCTCATCGGCAGACTGATATGCTTCAGGTCAGGCAATACCAGGCCAAGGATTGTGCGCACCGTCAGGATGGCGTTTGCTGGGACAAATGTTAGTTTGTCCCAGCCGGATATAATGCAAAAACTGACGGAGCGCATAGACGACCTGAAGCAGAGAATCGCTGCTTGGGGAAAGCGAATTCGGCGATATACCGAGAGGTCGACACGGTTCAACCAGAATCGTCTCTTCCAGAGTGATCAGAAGAGGCTCTATAAATCATTGGAGCGACCAATGGTAAGTGGAACGGGCCCAGTACCGAATCAGGCCGACACGGTCGCGTTCTGGCGCAGCCTGTGGTCAGAGCCCGTTAACCACAACGAGGGCCCTTGGACGGAAGTTGTGGCGAGTCAGTGTGCGGGTATTACGCCCATGGACCCCGTCATCATAACACCGGATGACGTAGCTGAGGCGGTCCGTAGGGCCCCGAACTGGAAAAGTCCGGGACTCGACGGGCTGCATCACTACTGGCGGAAGGGGTTCGTGGTGTGTCACACTGTGCTCGCCCGACAGTTTCAAGAGGTTCTCAACCAGAAGTCGCTCCCGAGCCGCTTCACTACTGGGATCACTCACTTGGTTCCTAAATGTCAAGATACCACAGACCCGAGCAAATACTGCCCCATCACGTGTCTACCGACCATATATAAGACACTAACATCCATTTTGAGCGCGAGAATCACTCGTCACCTGGACTCAAATCAGGTGATGTCGCGCGCTCAAAATGGATGTCGGGGCGGCGGTCGTGGAACCAAGGAACCACTCCTCATTGACGCGGTCATTGGCAAAGTGGTGAAACGCAACCGTCGGAACTTCTCCGCCGCCTGGATAGACTACAGAAAGGCATTCGACTCGGTGCCCCATACATGGCTAAAGAGAGTCCTCGAACTGTACAAGATAGACTGTACAGTTAGAGACTTCCTCGAGCAGTGTATGGGGCAGTGGAGTACGATCCTTTGTCATCTGGGCGAGCGGATGATGGCTGCGGAGAACCACATAACGATAAGAAGGGGTATCTTCCAGGGCGATTGTCTGAGTCCAAAATGGTTCTGCCTCTCTCTGAACCCTCTCAGTACCTTACTGGAGGGCTCCGGGAGGGGATTTCAGCTACGGAAAGGAGGGACAAAAGTGACCCACCTTTTCTATATGGATGACCTCAAGTTATTCGCCTCCAGTCGCTCCCATCTTATGGAACTGCTAAACATCACTTGTGAATTTAGCAATTCCATTGGAATGGAGCTGGGGACGGATAAGTGTGCGGTCCTCCATGTTGAGAGGGGTAGGGTTGCTAACTCTGAGGGCATAGACTTATCTATGCCCGTCAACTTAAGGACCCTTTCCGAGGCTGAAACATACCGATACCTGGGTATGTCACAGAACATTGGTATCGATTAAGCTGGTATGAAACAGTCAGTTTGCGACGTGTTTTATGCACGCTTGACCAAAGTGCTTAACAGCCTTTTGTCCGGTGTGAATAAGACACACGCATATAACGGCTGGGTCATGCCTGTCCTCATGTATACCTTTGGCATACTCAGGTGGACTCAGACTGAACTTAACGCCCTGGATAGAAAAGTCCGCACTACCATGACGTCCCACAGGATGCATCATCCGAGATCGTCGGTAATGAGGCTGTACTTGCCGCGAAAGCATGGTGGGCGTGGCTTCTTGAGCGCGCTCACCATGCATAATCGCGAAGTGTGCAGCCTCCGTAATTACTTCCTGGCGAGATCGGATGATCCATTCTATAAGGACGTCATTTCTTGTGATAAAGGACTTACCCCTCTATCCTTAGCCAACGAGCAATGGCAAGACCCGGCAGTGCAGACAATTTCCGACCGGGAGACCGTATGGAAGGAGAAGGAGCTCCACGGGAGGTTCTACAAGTCTCTACATGGGCCTTTCGTAGACACAGTAACCTCTCTCCACTGGCTACGCTTTGGTGACCTCTTCGGGGAAACCGAGGGTTTTGTCTGTGCAATACAGGATCAGGTTATTAAGACCAACAACTATCGGAGATACATCCTAAAGGATGGCACCATCGACATCTGTCGAGCTTGTCGCCATCCCGGTGAGTCACTTAGGCATGTCATCTCCGGTTGTTCGGCGCTTTCTAACTTTGAGTACTTGCACAGGCACAACCTATTAGCCAGAATTCTACACCAGGAGCTCGCTCTGAAATACGGTTTCGTGGATCGGAAGTTGCCTTATTACAAGTACTTGCCGGAAGCCGTGCTCGAAAATGATCGCGCCAGGCTCTATTGGGACCGGGCCATCATCACAGACAGGACTATTCTTGCGAATAAGCCTGATATTGTGCTGATGGACCGGGCACAGTCAAGGATATTTTTGGTCGACATTACCATTCCGTGTGACGAGAACCTCGTGAAAGCCGAAACAGATAAGCAAACAAAATATCTGGACCTGGCTCACGAGGTGACCGACATGTGGGGTGGTCTGCCGAACGAAATTATTCCTGTAGTCGTCTCTGCAAACGGGCTAATCCCAGTCAGCCTCTCGGGTCATCTGAGGCGGCTGGGACTACGTGGCGGACCGCTCCAGGCTCAAATGCAGAAGGCGGTGCTCCTCGATACCGCCCGCATCGTCCGCCGATTTCTTTTCCTTTCCCCCTAACCCTCGGCCGTTTGGTCTCCCCTGCCGAGGGCTTCCATCTGGTTGGGCTTTTATTTATTTATGTATTTTCGTATTTATTTTATTTTATTGATATTTTTGTATATTTCTCTTTTCATTTTCATTTATAATTATATATTTATAGAACCCAACCAGATGAGAAAACTATATAGATACCCAATAATAATAATAATAATAACCAAGGAACCACTCCTCATTGACGCGGTCATTGGCAAAGTGGTGAAACGCAACCGTCGGAACTTCTCCGCCGCCTGGATAGACTACAGAAAGGCATTCGACTCGGTGCCCCATACATGGCTAAAGAGAGTCCTCGAGCTGTACAAGATAGACTGTACAGTGAGAGACTTCCTCGAGCAGTGTATGGGGCAGTGGAGTACGATCCTTTGTCATCTGGGTGAGCGGATGATGGCTGCGGAGAACCACATAAGGATAAGAAGGGGTATCTTCCAGGGCGATTGTCTGAGTCCAATCTGGTTCTGCCTCTCCCTGAACCCTCTCAGTACCTTACTGGAGGGATCCGGGAGAGGATTTCAGCTACGGAAAGGAGGGACAAAAGTGACCCTCCTTTCTATATGGATGACCTTAAGTTATTCGCCTCCAGTCGCTCCCATCTTGTGGAATTGCTAAAAATCACTTGTGAGTTTAGCAGTTCCATTGGAATGGAGCTGGGGACGGATAAGTGTGCGGTCCTCCATGTTGAGAGGGGAAGGGTTGCTAACTCTGAGGGCATAGATTTATCTATGCCCGTCAACTTAAGGACCCTTTCCGAGGCTGAAACATACCGATACCTGGGTATGTCACAGAACATCGGTATCGATGAGGCTGGTGTGAAACAGTCAGTTTGCGACGTGTTTTATGCACGCTTGACCAAAGTGCTTAACAGCCTTTTGTCCGGTGTGAATAAGACACAAGCATATAACGGCTGGGTCATGCCTGTCCTCATGTATACCTTTGGCATACTCAGGTGGACTCAGACTGAACTTAACGCCCTGGATAGAAAAGTCCGCACTACCATGACGTCCCACAGGATGCATCATCCGAGATCGTCGGTAATGAGGCTGTACTTGCCGCGAAAGCATGGTGGGCGTGGCTTCTTGAGCGCGCTCACCATGCATAATCGCGAAGTGTGCAGCCTCCGTAATACTTCCTGGCGAGATCGGATGATCCATTCTATAAGGACGTCATTTCTTGTGATAAAGGACTTACCCCTCTATCCTTAGCCAACGAGCAATGGCAAGACCCGGCAGTGCAGACAATTTCCGACCGGGAGACCGTATGGAAGGAGAAGGAGCTCCACGGGAGGTTCTACAAGTCTCTACATGGGCCTTTCGTAGACACAGTAACCTCTCTCATCTGGCTACGCTTTGGTGACCTCTTCGGGGAAACCGAGGGTTTTGTCTGTGCAATACAGGATCAGGTTATTAAGACACACAACTATCGGAGATACATCCTAAAGGATGGCACCGTCGACGTCTGTCGAGCTTGTCGCCATCCCGGGGAGTCACTTAGGCATATCATCTCCGGTTGTTCGGCGCTTTCTAACTCTGAGTACTTGCACAAGCACAACCTAGTAGCCAGAATTCTACACCAGGAGCTCGCTCTGAAATACGGTCTCGTGGACCGGAAATTGCCGTATTACAAGTACTTGCCGGAAGCCGTGCTCGAAAATGACCGCGCCAGACTCTACTGGGACCGGGCCATCATCACAGACAGGACTATTCTTGCGAATAAGCCTGATATTGTGCTGATGGACCGGGCACAGTCAAGGATATTTTTGGTCGATATTAACATCCCGTATGACGAGAACCTCGTGAGAGCCGAAACAGATAAGCAATCAAAATATCTGGACCTGGCTCACGAGGTGACGGACATGTGGGGTGGTCTGCCGGCCGAAATTATTCCTGTAGTCGTCTCTGCGAATGGGCTAATCCCAGTTAGCCTCTCTGGTCATCTGAGGCGACTGGGACTCCGTGACGGACCGCTCCGGGCTCAAATGCAGAAGGCGGTGCTCCTTGATACTGCCCGCATTGTCCGCCGGTTTCTTTCCCTTTCTTCCTAACTCTTGGCCGTTTGGTCTCCCCTGCCGAGGGCTTCCATCTGGTTGGGCTTTTATTTATTTATGTATTTTTGTATTTATTTTATTTTATTGATATTTATGTATATTTATCCTTTCATTTTCGTTTATAATTATATATTTATACATCCCAACCAGATGAGAAAACTATATAGATACCCCACACATAATAATAATAATAATAATAATAGATAGACTACAGAAAGGCATTCGACTCGGTGCCCAATACATGGCTAAAGAGAGTCCTCCAGCTGTACAAAATTGACTGTACAGTTGGAGACTTCCTCGAGCAGTGTATGGGGCAATGGAGTACGATCCTTTGCTATCTGGGCGAGCGGATGATGGCTGCGGAGAACCACATAAGGATAAGAAGGGGTATCTTCCAGGGCGATTGTCTGATCCAATCTAGTTCTGCCTCTCCCTGAACCCTCTCAGTACTTTACTGGAGGGCTCCGGGAGGGGATTTCAGCTTCGGAAAGGAGGTACAAAAGTGACCCACCTTTTCTATATGGATGACCTCAAGTTATTCGCCTCCAGTCGCTCCCATCTTATGGAATTGCTAAACATCACTTGTGAATTTAGCAATTCTATTGGAATGGAGCTGGGAACGGATAAGTGTGCGGTCCTCCATGTTGAAAGGGGGAGGGTTGCTAACTCTGAGGGCATAGGCTTATCTATGCCCGTTAACTTAAGGACCCTTTCCGAGGCTGAAACATACCGATACCTGGGTATGTCTTAGAACATCGGTATCGATGAGGCTGGT